CTGTAATCTCACCCGCCCCATAAAATGATTTCACATTTTAGTGTTTCTTTTCAACTTCAATCCTGAGGAACATCACTTTTAGATAACTGAGGTAATAGGATAGATACAGTTTTAAATATTGTTTTCTTTTACATTATTTTACAAACACGGTTTCGTGTTTCTCCATGTTCTGGTAGGTGCACTGTTTTGTATTGTTAGTGTTTAATAATTTAATCTTCCATGAGTGGGTTCCAGTTCTCTATTAAGTCGTAATGACATAAGTATTTTAGTACATATAGATTTTTTCTTTTGGCCTATTTCACTGGGTTTTAAATTTCTAGGTGAAGGACTGGGTCAAAGCATCCCAGCTGACTCTTGCTAAGTGTTACCTAAGTGTCTAGAAGGATTAAGTTAATTTACCTGGTCACTAGCCAGGTATGAATATATCTGTTTCTCAAGGCTTTGACTGGCGTTAGGTATTTAATTTTTACTCAGTTTAATGGCTGTTAATTGGGACCATACTATACATACAGTCTTTAATTTTCATTTCCATAATTACTAAGGAAGTTGAGTCTTTAAATATATATATATATAATATATATATATAATGTTTAAATATATGTCTAAATATATAAATAATGTTTAAATATATATAATATATATAATGTTTATTGTTTGTATTTCCTCTTACGTGCCTATTCAATTCAAAGCAACAGACATATTTTGAGTGCTGTCTGTGTGCCAAGTGCTGTGTGCTCCCCTCAAGAATGAGGGATCTAACAAAAATGACCATTTGGGATAGGGTGGGGAAGCCAGGTAGTATAGAAAATACATAACTAACTTTATGCCATTGCTAGAAGCACAATACCGGCAGACAGTCTGGGCAAAGTCCTGTAGGTGGAAAACAAAGAAGCAAAGGGTTGACCCTGTTTGAAATAGGTTAGGCTTTTGTAGGGCAAGTGACATTAGAGCTAAGGCCAACAAAGAGTAAGATCTGTCCAGGTGAGAAAAAGATGTCTGGAGAGATGAAACAATATGGAGAGAGGTAAAGGGGTTGAAAAACATAAAAATATAGTACTTGTGTTATGGAGTGGTGATTTTTCCCTAATAGCTGAAATGAGGAATGCTGAGGCTGAGTGATGATGGGACACTGGCTGGTAAGGAAGGGCTTACTCAGGATTCTGACCTCTGCCTTGAGGATTTTTTTGTTCTTAAAGAGGAATGACAGGAGCTAACGTGTGTTTTAGGAATATCTTTTTGGAAGCTACTGAGAGGTGGATTTGGAGACAGTGGAGTCCATAATATGAGCCTATCTATATCTTTAGCCACTTACCAAGGGCCAGAGATAGGATTAAAGATAAGTTATTATGTAGTATGCACATTAACTCTTTATTTGGCCTTCTTAAAATGATTCCCATTTTGTAGTTTTCCTTTAAAATTGTTCTAAAATTGTGGCAAAAATAGGAGCACCTGGGTGGCTCAGTCAGTTGAGCATCTGACTCTTGGTTTCGGCTCAAGTCATGATCCCAGGGTCATAGGATCGAGCCCTGCATCGGGCTCCACGCTGAGCTTCAAGCCTGCTTGAGATTCTCTCTCTCTCTCTCTCTCTCTCTCTCTCTCTCTCCCCCTCTGCCCCTCTCCCCTGCTAATAGTCTCTCTCTCAAATAAAAAAATTGTAATATTGTGGTAAAATATAGGTAACATAAAATTTACCGTCTTAACCATTTTTAAATGTTCAATTCAGTAGTGTTAAGTACATTTCACATTGTTGTGCAACCAATCACCAGATCATGACTTTCCTTTTAAGTTTAGCTGAGTTTTATTAAAAAGAAATAGAAAATTGTACAAATTTACTTTTTAAATAATGATTACTGATTTTTACTTAACTTTGTATAATGTACTTTAACACATGTGATCTCATTTGATCCTCATAAACATCCTTCTGAGGTAGACATTATCCTCATTTTACAGATGAGAGAGCTGAGGTCTAGAGGTAAAAGATTGGATAAGCTTGGTGTGTTTATCCTGGAGAAACAAAGAGTGTCACCCAGCTTTATAGGCTGAGGATTTCACCATCCAATCAGTCATGCAGCAAATATTATCAGAGTATCTAGTATGTACCCAGTGTTAGGAGAATAATGTCAAGCAAAATAGATGTATTCCTTGTATTTATGGGGCTCAAGGACTGGCAGGGGAAACAGGCAACAGGCATTCACCAAGAAATCATGAGGGGCGCCTGATTGGCTCGGTCAGTGGATCATGCGACTCTTGATCTCGGTTGTGAGTTTGAGCCCCACGCTGGGTGTAGAGATTAGTTAAAAATAAAAATCTTTAAAAAAAAGAAATCATAAAAATAATGAAGCAATTATAAACTCTCTTCGAAGGAAAGAAATACCATGCTATGAGAACAATTTATATATAGTAGTGGTACCAGACCAAGTCGAAGGGTCAGGGAATGTTTCCCCTAGCAAATAATTTCTGGAGGTTTTACTTCTTCTTCCCCTCTCCTGCACATCTCTCCCCCAAGCTTCATCATTAAACTTCACAGGGAGGGGCTGCCTAGCTGGCTCAGTCGGTAGAGCGTGCAACTCTTAATCTCGGGGTTGTAAATTGAAACCCACATTGGGTGCAGAGATCACTTAAAAATAAAATCTTTAAATTTCACAGGGAAAGACAATGTAAAATATCTTCATCTGAGAGAAACTCAGAACTGAGTATACATATGCTATATGAATTTGTAAACTTCTGAAATGATTCACCCTGACATTTCCATGTGTCTAATCCACAATGTCCTTTCCTTGACATTATATGATTTGTATACTGCCCCCATCCTTGTGAGGTAGGCAGGCAAATATGACTGTCTATATTTTATGGATGAGGAATGTGAGTCTCAAAGAGGTTAGATAACTTGCCTAAAAACACATGACTAGTTTATGGTAGAGCTGAGATTTGAATTCAGGTCTTGTACCACCTAGATGGTATTATTCTTATAATATTCATTCTTTCATTTATTCATTTATCCATCAAACATGTACCAGTCACCTGAGTGTCAGGCTACATATGGAACAGTCAAGAGCCACTGAAGGATTTGAAGCAGGAAAGCAGCATGGTTTCCAAAGTATGGTCTGACTGCTCGCTTCGGCAGCACATATACCAAAGTATGGTCTGGGATCACTCACGGGGTCTAAATCTCTGAGATTGGGATTTAGTAATCTCCTGATCAGCCAGGTTTGGAATTCTTTTCCAAATCTAATGCAATACAGAGAAAGAATCACTGTATTAGAGAAGGAGGTGGTGCAACCAGTTAACATGACTAAGGTAGTGGCTGTAGAGCGAGACAACCAGGTGAGAGGTGATGAAGTACAGAGACAAAGGGAGGCATTTGAGGGTCATTTAGACAGCATTGGCAGGATTTCCCACTCTACTCTTTCCTGCTCCAGCTTGAAACACTGTAATAACCTTTGAGAGGAAATGGGGTCACCCTCTGGGCTCTGGGATTATTGTCTTCAGGTTTCCTGGATGAGTGGATGAGGTTCAGAGAAGTGGAGCTGGGATTCCTACCTGGGTCCTCAGGCTCTAGTGTCTTTGGGCTTTATTGCACATAGCCATTTATAACCATAGCCCCACGTAAAATATTTATATTTATGTAGCTTGGCTCTTGTTTTGCAAATAACCATCTTATCTCAAGCTGCCTTCAAGCCTTGTATTTCTCCCTCAGTTTCGTAAAGCCTAAGAGAGAAATAAGGGACAGACAAGCAAGGCTCTAAAAGCTTTAAAATATTTACTTCTTGGGACACCTGGGTGGCTCAGTCAGTTAAGCATCCAACTTCAGCTCAGGTCATGATCTCATGGTTGGTGGGTTCGAGCCCTACATCAGGCTCTGTGCTGAAAGCTCAGAGCCTGGAGCCTGCTTCAGATTCTGTCTCCTTCTCTGTTCTTCCCCAGCTCGTGCTCTATTTAAATAAATAAACGTTAAAAAGATTTTTGTTAATCTTTATTTATTTTTGAGAGGGAGAGAGAGAGTGCAAGTGGGGTAGCAATAGAAATAGAGAGAGACACAGAAGCCAAAGCAGGCTCCAGGCTCCGAGCTGTCAGCACAGAGCCTGACACCGGGCTTGAACTCACGAATGGCAAGATCATGACCTGAGCTGAAGTTGGACATTTAACCAACTGAGCCACTCAGGCGCCCCACGTTAAAATTTTTTAAAAATATTTATTTCTTTGGTGCTAGGTAAAGGAAAAAATAGATTTGATTAGACAAACACAAACTCTGGGAGAGAATAGTAAGACAGTGGGGAGATGCACTGCATGTCTTCTTCCTATAAACCCTAGAAGGCTTCCAGGAAGCCTGAAGACAATAATCCCAGAAGCCCAGAGAGTGACCCCATTTCCTCTCAAGGTTATTACAGGGTTTCAAGCTGGAGCAGTTAGGGAATTCAGGAAACTGTAAAGAAACCACAACAGCCTCAACAACCATCTCCCCAAACACCAACATCAACAACCTCAACAATAAAACTTACTAACATCCGTCTCCTTCCCGCCCACAACCACAGACCTGAAGGCGGGTAGATGGGACTATTGGGGACTGATCCTCATTCGGGGTTTGGGTTTCCCACGGTCTCAGGGAGGGGGAAAACTGACACCCTTATGCCTGAATGCATGCACCAGAGGCTGAGGACACCCCCACTCTCCTCACTGCCAGGTAGGTCAGGATTGAAGAGAACTGAGGCAAAAGTTATGTTTGGCAGTGCCAGGGGAAGATTAGCCTGCCCAGATACTGGCCAGGCCAGAAGGGCTAAACCAAGCAGGTGAGGATGGAGGTGTGGGAGAAAAGGGTGGGAAAGTGGGCGTGGCGGGAGCCCTTGACAGGCATATATGGGGTGTGGCGTGAGAACACCTGGAGGGGAGGCTCCCTTGAGGATAACCAATCAGGAGCGGGTTGCGGCCCAGGGGCGGGACCGGGGGATATCTTGGTCAAGATTGGATAACGGCCTGGCGCTGGGAGGGGCCTCGCGCCGCCTGCGCCCGCCGCTTTGCAATCAGCTTCATATACTGCAGTAGTGGCTGTAGTGGAAGCTGGCTGATTGCGGCGCACGTCCCTGAATCTGACGCTCCTCGCTTGCCGCGGAGTTCCTTGAGTCCGGCGTGCATTTTGTCCTGCCCCAAGATCGCTCCATCCTCTGTCCCCTAGCCTCTCACCCAGCTTCCGAAGCTCCGGACTTGGACGTCTGCTGAACGAAATGGTCACAGCTATGAATGTCTCGGACGAAATAGACCAGCTGTTCCAGCCTTACAACTTCGAGCTGTTCCAGGACATGAGGCCCTTTTTGGAGGAATACTGGTAAGACCTGGAGAAGGAGAAGGGCCGTGCCAAGGTCCTTACCTTGATGACTGCTATTTGGGGTGGGTTGGGGGTGAGGGAAGAGACACTTGAATGCCTGCAATGATTTTCTTAAAGAGCAAAGGTATCGGACTCCCCTGTAATGGCTCCATATCTGTTGTCCAAGTGCAGGGTTAGCACCTCAAAGAGATTAGATCTGGAAGAAAGAAAGAGGGAGAGAGAGACAGAAAGGGAGGGCGGGAGGGAGAATGGAAGAAAGAGGATGGGGTGAGAAACGTAGGAGGCAGAAACTGAGGGGACAGAGTATAGTGAGAAATGATCTCTGAGGAAAGGGGTTAATCTGAACTCCTACTCCTACTCCCACCCACCTTATAGACGGCTCTCCTCTGTCCTTTGTGGCCATGTGTGCACACGTGCAGGCATAGTGCTGGTGCCCAGAGACAGTCTGCCCTTCAAATTATCATGTTGTTCCCCCAATGCTACATCGTCCCTGCTGTGGAGAAGGAGACATAGCCAGGGAGCTTTTGCAAGATTTCCCCAGGCTCTTTGGCTTTGCCCTGAAGCTCCTCAGAAGTGTTTTTGGGCTAATTTTGAGCTCCAGCTAATTTTCCATGACCCAACCAGGCAGACAGTATTGCCACATTCTTCTTGCACCAGAGCCCTGGGTTTGTTCTAGGCATGGGCCAGCAGCCATCACCCATTCACAATTCCACCGAAAGAGTGATAACTACAGAAACCTTGGCCACAGCCCTTGCCCTGTGCTAGGTACTTTATATACCTTAGCACTGCCAGGAGAGGAGTGTTATTTCTCCTTTATAATAAGGAAACTGAGGCTCAGAGAACTAAATAGTTTTTCCAATGTCACACAGCCAATAAATGACAGAGATGTGACTCCAACCCAGAGCACTCACCTTAAGAGATGGGTGGGTACTCCTCTAACGAGCACCCACCTGTAAGCCCATCCCCTCTGCCTTCTGCCTGCCAGGGCAACCTCATTCCCCATAGCTCTGGTCTACCTGCTGCTCATCTTTGTGGGGCAGAACTACATGAAGGCACGGAAGGGCTTCAACCTACAGGGGCCTCTGATCCTTTGGTCCTTCTGCCTTGCAATCTTCAGGTAAGACACCCCCCCCCTCCACTCCCTGCCTATCCTGTAGACCCTAGACCCTCATCTTATCCTTAAAAGCTTTCTAGAAACCCCAACTGAGTCAACTCCCTAAGTTGCCCTCTAACCCTCTCCCTAACCCATTCCCTCAGCTCCAGCCCCCTCCCTGGCTTCCACCCACCCACCCACCCACTCGTATTACCCTGTTTTCCTTCTCCCTCTCTCTCTCCATTTTAAAATGTTTATTTATTTTTGAGAGACAGCGAAACAGCAGGGGAGGGACAGAGAGAGAGGATCTTCTGCATGGTCAGTGGAGACCCTGAAGCAGGGCTTGAACTCACGAACAGTGAGATCATGACCTGAGCAGAAGTCAGATGTTTAACCGATTGAGCCGCCCAGGTGCCTATACCCTGTTTTCCTTCTTCCCCAGGCCCCATACTGATAGCTTCTGTTCTATCTCATGAGAACCCTTGTGCTCATGGAGTCTGTGTACTTTTAATGAATTTGCCCAGCTCCTAATACTCTCAGCATCTAACACCCTCTCCCAAGACCTTCCAATAACTTCTCTAGCCCCTCCTTCCCATATTTCATCCCCGAAACTCCTTCCATCTCCTCCATCCTGTCACCCATCCCTACCCATCCCAAGAGCCCTATTCCCTAACTCAACTTTCAGTCCAGTCCTCCAGCATTCCCTGGTCCTTCCCCTAGCCCTCATCTCCTCTAGATTACTGGTTGGATCCTGGCCCCAGATCTCAGAAGTTGTGATCCATTTCATTGGAAGTGGGGGAGAAGTGGTGGAGCTTGGGACAGTGATCTGCCAGGCCAAGGAGGAAGGGTGAATTGGTGTCTGGGGATGACCCTTACACCTTTTCCCTCTCTCCTATTTCAGTATCCTGGGGGCAGTGAGAACGTGGGGCTATATGGGGACCGTGCTACTTAGGGGCAGCCTAAAGCACACTGTTTGCTTCTCCGTCTTCATCCAAAATTCCGTAATCAAATTCTGGTCCTGCCTCTTTCTTCTCAGCAAGGTCATTGAACTTGGTGAGTGTCAAGGCTTTGTCTCTCTGGTGCCTGGTCAACTGCATCCCTCCTCGGTGCCCCCCACACCATCACATGGAGACTGCCTCCCCCCACCCCTGGGTCCTAACAACACCTCTTACCAAAGCCCCTCTTTAGATTATTTTCCACAAAGACCCCTCCCCATGCCCTGAGAATTCCCCCCATTCCCCTACAGCCAGTGTGGAGGGTGGTTCCAGCACTGGGTGGTATGCCAGCTATGACTCCCCATCTCCCAGGAGACACGGCCTTCATCATCCTGCGTAAGCGGCCACTCATCTTTGTACACTGGTACCACCACAGCACAGTGCTAGTGTACACGAGCTTTGGATACAAGAACAAGGTGGCTGCAGGAGGCTGGTTCATGACCATGAACTACGGTGTGCATGCCATCATGTACATCTACTACACTCTGAAGGCTGCCAAAGTGAAGTCCCCCACGTGGTTACCTAAGCTCATCACCAGCCTGCAGATCCTGCAGATGTTTATGGGAGCCATTGTCGGCATCCTAAGTTACATCTGGAGACAAGAACAGGGATGCCACACCACAACGGAACACTTCTTCTGGTCCCTCGTTTTGTACACGACCTATTTCATTCTCTTTGCCCATTACTTCCACCACACCTACATAACGCCCAAGGCCAAAGCCAAGACCAAGAGTCAGTGAAGGGCTGGAGAAAAAGGAGCCCCAGTCTCTCTCCCCACCAAGGCACTGAGGGGCTGAGCTTAGGTTTGGGAGAATGATTGGGATGCCTTTCCTGCATGGTTTTCCCCATGGGATGTGTGCCCCAAGGTGGCAGGAAGTTATGTCAGACAAGAAGTGTCAGCCCTGGGATGGGGTGCAATCTAGTACTTTGATGTTTCCATTTTTAATGTGAAGGCCAAGCAGGTCCTAGGTTGGGGGTAGGACTGAAGAGGATCCCCAGAACGGAGTTATTTATATTTCTATCCAGAAATCTTCTTCTTGCTCTATTTTTTAATTAAAGATTTCAACACGATTTTGGGGGCTTTGGGATTTTGGGGAAGAGGAGGACTGCTGTGATGGGAGAGGGCTGCTGGCAAGCAGGATGATCACTGGGTGAGGAGACTAAGAAGGTGTGTGGAAGGATGAGAGGCTCACACACAGACACTCAAGAACCCTAGGCCTGGTAGGCACTTAATAAATATCTGTCACAGACCAGAATTTTATTGCTATTAGAGGCCCAAGCCCCTCATAGGAACAGTGAGAAACAGGTGCAGAAAGGCGGAGTAACTTATCTAAGATCATAGGCTTCCTAAGTTGCAGAATTGATTCCTGCCAAGTAAGCGTTGGAGACCAGACCTCCCAGTTATCCGCCATGAGACCACCGGGTGGCGCCGCAGCACCAACTTTGGCCAACGCCAGCCAAGTTGCTGGCCCCTAAGCCACACTCAACAAACGCGCGTGCAGGTGCGCTCCGTGGGTCCAGGAATCCCCCAGCTTTTCCATCCTGGTGTTGGGAGCTGAGGGGGTACTGAAGCCCTAGAAGCCCCGGCCCTTCTTTCCTGCACACCCAGCTCTCCTTTAGAAATGGGAGAGCTTGAGGGGAGGGGGCTGAATCGCAACTCTGAATCATCAGGCCTTTGGCAGTCCGCGCACGTTTATTTCATTAATCTTTGAAAATGAGGAGAGGAGTCTGAAGAAGGCGGGGTGGGCCAAGGGTCAGTTGGCCCCTGGGGAACTGGTCCCTTTTCCTGGCCTTAGTCCCAGGGGCGCGGACTGTGTGTAGGGTCCAGTCCACCCCTCAGGGTCGGCGGTGGGGGAAATCTCTCTCCTGAGCCGGCCGCCTCCCCCCGACCCTTCAGCTGCCCCAGCACCCCTCTCAGACCCCGGGGCAGGGGCAAGCCAGTCTAGACGACCCCAGTCCGGGGAGGCTGTGAATTATCGACCCCGCCCTCGGGGATGGTCGACGGACCGGGCCATTCATACGGGCCGTTCCACGGCGTACTGGCACGGACTGAGGTTGGCGGCCGGGGGCGGCCCGGGCACGGCGGGGTAGCTGAAAGAGGCGTGTTGTTTGGCCTTGAGCCTCAGGCTGGCCAGACTCGAGTTACACGGGTCCCGATATACGTAGGGGGAGGAGGCGGCTGCAGCAGCGGCTGCGGCGGCCGAGGCGTAAGGGCAGGATACTGCCCCGGAGGACACTGCGGCCGGAGCCAGCCCGGGGGGCCCCCCGCCCAGGCCCTGCAGGGCCCCGGGCCCTGGCACGGTGCCCGGGGCGGCCGCGGCCGAGGGCACCATGGAGGCGGCGATGGAGCTGGGTGGCGAGAAGACGGGCTGCGATGCCAGAGGCCCCACATTGACCGAGTTGAAGGCGAACGGGAAGGTCTTGGCAGCGAGCGGCGGGCCGAGAGCCTTTGGTGGCCAATTGCCGTACGAGTAGCCGGGGTACACCTCCTCGTAGGGCGGCACCAGCCCCCCGAGCGGCGCGGCGAAGCCGCCCTTGCACAGCTCCGCCTGCTGGCTGCGCTCGCGCTTCCGCCACTTGGCGCGCCGGTTCTTGAACCACACCTGCGGGAGTGCGAGAAAGACTGTCAGAGCAGCAGCCGGGCGGAGGCCTGGGGTCAGCGCGGCTGGCGGCTAGGTCACCGAGACCCGGGTTCGGGCAGGGGCAGGGCGGAGGACAAACGAGACGGAAGTGGTTAGAGACGGGATTGGGCAGCCAGGCCGGGGGCAGGGGCAGCGCACCGCGTAAAGGGGCTGAGAACAGTTGTGGGCGGCAAGATTGGGTCAGGGGGGGCATGGTCTGGAGGGTCCTGTAGGATGGGGTCAAGGAGGGGTGAAGAAGAGAACGAGAGACAGTGCCGAAGGAGAAGAAACGCGCGGCCTGGAGCGACAGGGTGGAGTCAGAGCAGAGGCCAGAGGCTGGTTCTAAGGAGGCGGTGCGGGGCAGCAGGCGGAGGTCTCCGCACGTTGGGTGTTGGGCCGAGGGTGGGCAGTCAGGGCAGAGGCACAGGCTGCTGGCTCCAGAGCTACTCGCTGAGCGTCAGGCTAGAGGGAGGCCCGGGCCGGGGACTGGGCGGGGGGAGGGGGCGGTGCCGGGAAGGTTGCAGGTCTGAGAGGACCTTACCCGCACGCGGGCCTCAGTGAGGTTGGTCCACACGGCGATCTCTTCGCGCGTACTCATGTCGGGGTAGCGGTTCCTCTGGAAGGTCGCCTCCAGTTCCTGTAGCTGCTGGCTGGTGAAGTGGGTGCGCTGCCGCCGCTGCTTCTTCTTCAGGGAGCCGTCTTCCGGGGAGCCTCCGGGCAGCGAAGCCGAGGCCTTCTCCGAGTCTGGGGGCCGAGATGGGGGCAGGTCACTGGACGCCCAGGCCTGCGCGAACTCTGCGGTTCCCAGACCTCCTCCACCGAGCCTTCACTCCCACCCTGCCTTCCACTCCCAGGTCCCCTCGCCTCCGCAAGAGGGATTGAGCTGCTATCTCCCCTACTCCCAGTAGGGGGTGCGCTCACCGCTGTGCTCTTGGCCCTTGCAGCCGTGTTCTGGGAGTGGCGGGTGGGGAGTGCCCGCATCTGACAGCGAGAGGGCCGGGCTCCGGGCCTCCGCCTCGCTGAGCAGGCCGAACTCCATGGAGGGAGGACTCTGGAAAGGAGAGAAGACACAGACCAGGTTGATGGGGCTAACATCTCACAGTTATCCCGTTCCCAGTAGTGTTTCCCCTCAAGTTCACTGTCCCCTTTCTCAGCCACCGATATAAGCTACTCTCGTGTGCGTACCCTAGGATAGAATGGGGAAACAGTAGCCTAAGGGGGAGAAGGTGTATACCCAGAAGTTTCATGCACAGATATGCACACCAAACTGTTTTGTTCACTGATGGGCACCGAAAACTCTGCCTGGTGCACAGTTGCTGTTCAATAGATACTTATCAAGTTAATGAAAACTACACTATTGCACACCACATACTGTATACCACAACCTCAAAAACTTCAGTTCCCTTTCGCATGTATGTCCAGTATCCCCACAAACTCATACATGCCCCTCAGCTAACATGAGACACTACCTGAACCTCTGTTACTCACTCTTTAGTGGGGCAGGTTTGATTCTGAATGAGGCACAATATGTCTCACACAAGGAAAATCACTGCTATTATTTATGAGTACTTACTATGTGCCTTTACTTCATTATCTTTCTTCTCACAAGAATGCATCGATATTAAGTATTATCACCCTTGTTCCAGTGAGGAAACTGAGACTTGAAGCCACCACTAAGGTCACAGAGCTCATACGTGGTGGAACTGGGATCTGAACCAGATCTGGGAAACTCCTCAGCTAATGCTTTTTCTTCATTTGCTTTTTCAAATTGTGTTCCAAACCCCCTCAGGGACTGGAACTTGGGACTAGCCTCAGGGATAGAGCTCTAGCCTGGCCTGGCTTGGATCTACTTCAACTAGGGCAGTCTTGCTTTTGCCTGTTTTGTTTATCCTTTCTAGGGAGATAGCATTTGAAGAAAGGGTTCCAGGATCAGAAATAAGTTTGAAAATCCCTGGGCATTCTTGCCTTGTCTGCTTCTATGCCTACCTGGACACCTATCACACCCTTACCAGTTCTCATGCCAGTCTCTACCAGCACTCCCCACCCTCAGCAGTAGATGTGGGCTTCTTAAGGTCATATTCCCACCCTTACTGCCTATCCCAAACCTCTCCTGACTTTGCCCGGGAGACTGCCTGGGTCCCTCTCCAAGTCTCCCCTGCAGGGTCCTCTTTCCTGCTGGCTCTTCCAAGTCCCCTCTGGTGGGATGAGGAGAAAGGAGCACTAGTGAGGTTCAAGAACTCTGGATGCCTCTTAGAGGAGAACCAAAGAAGGCTAGGGACAGAGGAGCAGGATGAAGAGTTAGCTGGGTAGGAGGGGTCCATCTGCCTCCCCATTAACAAGGACTTAATGCAGGCTGTGCAAGGTGGCATTAATGTGGCGGATTAGCCTAGATTGAGATGTGTGTCACTTGGCTGCTCTGAATTTATTAGGAGCCTTTCTCAGGGAGGCACAGATGGGCAGCAGCCTTTATTTGCACATGGTAATGCCCCCATCAACCAGCTGAGAGATGACAGCTGCCTCCCCCCACCAAGCGAGATTGGGCATGGGACAGAGGTCAAGGCAGGAGGTTGAGAAGCAGTCCCCATTCTGTCCGCAGGCAGAGGGGTCTAGACCTTGGACCTTTTCCTAGGGTTGGAGAGGTAGGACTAAAGGGGAACCCGGGAAGGAGAGACGTCAGGTTCGGGGTGGGTGTGCTCAGCTTACCTCCCCTTCCAGATCTGCAGTCAGGAATCAGGCTTGGGGCTGCCCCAGTGATGGTCTGATAGAAGGGAAATGCCCTTGGGTGGGGCCTCTGGCAGCCTTGACTGGTAGTTCTTCCCAAATAGCTCAAAAGGCTTAGAACTGGGAGCTGGAAAAGGGGGTGTTCTGAAGTCTCCTTTTACTTCATATCCAAGATGCTCTTGAAATGCAAACCATGCCCCTGACTTCTCCGGAGGCCATGGGAGCAACACCACTGGGAAAAGAGGGATAACTGGGTTCGCCTGAAGGGAAAGCTAAATCCCACAGTGCCATTTGTCCTTCCAGTCTGCTTTGGCTCCAGACTTCCACTATTCCAAACTCCCCTTCCCCCAGCATTCCATACCTGTGTCTTGGTTTCACCCTCTATTGCAGCAGAGGGAGGCAGGGTGAGGAGAGACAAGGGCCAAAGTAAAAGACGAGGCCGAGAAAGCAGACTTCAGGCTATGTGTTCCCAGAGACAGACAGACACACATGCAGACACACATGGGCCTCCACTCAGACAAAATAAGCACTTGGACTTGGAGCTAGAGGCATACAAACACATACTCTCCCACACATGTGCTCCCACATTCAAGCAGACAGACCCACACCGTCACACAGTCTCCTCTCTCTGTGACAGGGACAGCTGCCTTGGCTGTTTTGGAGCTAGCCGTTACCCTCCCCCCTTCCTGGCCCCTCTGAACCTCAGCTCTCAGTCCCAGGAACTAAGGACTCTATGGGGGAGGAGGAGGCCAAAGGGGCCAGGGGAGTGCTCTATACTCAGTGGTTGCTGGGGGAGAGCCTGTTTGGCTGGGTGGGGAGAAGTCTGAATAAGAGGATGGCTTGGGGGAAGAGGGCAGAAATTGTCCAGCTCCCACCTAGGAAAGTGATTTGGTATAGCTGGAAGAAATTAGGTTTGGAGACAAAGATCTGGGTTCATGTCCTGGCTCCCCAACTTCCTAGCTATGTGTTCTTTACCTCTCTGGACATATTTTTTCCATCTCTAAAAGGGAAAACATAATTCCTTCCCTACCTACCTCTAGTATTGTTATAGGGTTAAAGTAAAACTTGATGTAAAAATAAGTGGGGGTAAAACTCTATCCAAGTTGCTTTCCCCTCCCTCCTTACTCATTGAACAGATGTTTATTTGGCACCTCTATGAGCTGGGCACTGAGTAAGGCACTGAGGCTAGAGTGGTAAGATCTCATCCTCACATCTGCCCTTGCTTGAGTTCACCTTCTTAGACCCTGAATCTCCCAGTGAAGAATTTCTCTATTGAATAAAGGTAAGTATGCAGCATTTGAGAGTGGAATGCAAAGGTGTATTGTGAATACTCTACCCTACACATAAGGGAGGGCCCAGTCAATAAGGTAACAACAAAATGGACAGAATAACCCAAGCTAAGAGGCACTTTGGGGATCAGGGACTGGTGAAAGAAAGAAGGAAGCTTTCAGGCTCTTGACTGGGGTAGTAACAGTGGGAAGGGCGTGATGAGGCTGAGAAGGGCCTTGCCTGTGAAACTGAAAAGGCAAGAACACCACAGTCAGGCAGGCAACAGAGAGATAAAGGGTGGGGGCACAGGCCTCTAGCTGACTCGTGGCTGGGTGGGCTAGCCAGGCAGAGGCGGGGGGCGCCAAGCTGTTGTCTGAGCTGGAGACAGGCTGGCTGAGGATTAAGCTCCCCCAAACTGTTGGAGGTCAGGAAGCTGGGGAGTTGGGACTGAGGCCAGGGGCTTCGCCTCGCTCAGTGGACAGGGACAAGCAGTAAGTCTGGAAGCTGCAGGATTGGTTGACGCTGGTAGGAAATACCAGGCAGGGCCAAAGAGAGTCAGGATATAACGGTGGTGCTGAGTCCAGTTCTGGGAGGGGCTGCCTGTCCCCCATCCAGCCTTCCTGACACACCCTGCTGGGGATGCACGGGCAAGGCTCCGTGGGGTCAGGGTGACAATCCTAGCCCAGGGAAGAAGAAAGGGCCTGCAGGCGCACTCTGATTCTGAGGTACAGGCTGCCTACATGGAATTACAGGAAGCCTATCATGGACTGCAGCAAGAACAAAATATTCAAGGTATATTAAGATGGAGAGCAGAGGTCATCACAGGCCAGAGAGTTCACAGTAGGGAGGCCATGGCTTCCAAGAGACCCAAGCTCATGGCAAGAAGGCAAATGCCATGTGTGCCCACTTTTGTCCTGACGCCAACGGGAGAAACCAGGACTACAGCCAGAGGGCTCCCAAGTAGTTGAAATAATAATGCCTAAGCAGAAGGTATACCCTAGAACTGAGATGGGAGAAAACCACTAAATGAAGAGGAAGATGGAGGGGATAGAGTTGGGGTGCTGTGGCTCTGCTCAGCAAATAGCAGGTTGGCAATAGAGTATAAACCAGGGCCCTTAACTAGCATGGAGCCCACCTAGAAACCTGGATCTGAAGTGAGGCCCTTAAGTTCATCAGGGATGCTGAACACCCAAACCGTCTGGTTTGCCGAACTGCGGTGAGCAAATGGGAGCAAACGAAGACAGCTGTAGACGAGTCTCACAGCCCCACGAAGAAACCCTAAGACTCAAGTGGAGGCAGCAATGATTTGATGTGGTTAATTTATCAAGGGGTAAGTTAAGGATCAGAGAAATGGGCCCCCACACCCACTCTTCCCCTTTCTTCTTTCCTTCAGCAAATGTTAGGTGCTAAGACAAATCCCTAAGAATGGTAAGGCACAGAGCCTAACTTCTAGGAGCCTGTACAGTCTGGGGAGGCAAACAGGATGGACGACGATAGGCTGAATGGGACTAATATTCACATTGTGGGGGATCAAAGAGATGGAATCCCATGTAAGGTATCAGGTTTTGGGGCTCAGAGAAGGTAGCACATGGCAGAGCTGGGAACTGGGGAGGTAAAGGAGCAGAGGCTTCTAAATAACACAGCAGGATTAGGAATGAGCTGGCAGGTTCAGAGGACAACAGGCAGCCTAATGTGGCCAGGGTCTCAGTGTGGGCCATGGGAGATCATCAGAGAAAAACAGGTCGGGGGGACTCCAATGAAGGACAAGGGATGGTGCTTCAGGTTTGATAGAGTCTAGGCTAGAGCATCTCCAGCATTTCCATCAAAAACCCCTAAGACCAGTAAGAGAGAACATGACTCTGGGAAACTGGGAGCACAACCTCAAACATCTGCCACCAATATGGAACTTCTTTGAGATCTCCAACCTTATGGTAAAAATTGAAGCAAATTTTGCATTCTGTTCCATACTTAAATTATATTTGTCTTAATATAAAATAATGTTTTCTCTCCAAATCTCCACGTGACATCTTCAAGTGACATCACACAGCAGGAAGATGGGCCATGTTTATCTTGCAGCGTCATGCCCCTTCCACTCCTGTCCTGCCCTCTCCCCCCATCCCCCCTTTTGAGAAGCAGTGCTCCAAGCAATGGGAGTCACTGGAAGCTTGCAGGCAGGGGAGAGACATAAGAGCAGCATCTCTGAGACCTTTATTTGGCTGTGGTGAACAGAATGGATTGAGCAGGGGAAAGGTGGGAAAGGGGGCACTTAACTAAAGTGTAAAGAAGGCCCCAGGGAGGACAATGGAAAAGGAGTGGAGAGAGATTTGAAAGCAGCTCTCACTTACCCCACTGCCTTTCTGTCCCTATCACTCTCCTCATGGGTCCCTGGTCCATGACCATGGACTAGACACTCCAGATGATCCCAAAGCTCAGGACCTAATGGATCTTTCAGGTTAGCTTCCTTCTTCCTCCCCACCCTCTAGGACTCATCATTTAGAATGAATGGAGAAAAAAAGATTTGGGTGGCTCTGTCCCTTTCTCATGCCTATCCCCAGCTCAGTTCCAGCCTGCTCCCCTCTGCCCTCCTGGATCTGGGTTCTGGGCTCATATTCACAGCCTTGAAGAGGAGGCAGGCAGGGATCGGATCAGATTAGTGGGAGAGTTAAGCATTTGTGGAGCTCCCTAGAACTCTTCTTGGAGAGGAGCAGGGGTAAATTGCAGGCATTAGAAGCTTGGGATAGGGTGTTCCATCTGTCATTGAGAATCTTCCTGTGACTGGATCAGATGCTACCAGGCTGCTCTAGGACTTGAGACCCCATCCTTCCAAACAAAGATTCTGTGGTTACAGGGGACCTACAGTTTGGGCATAATAATAGCAATAATGCTTCTTATTTCTGTGGTGCTTCTCCATTTGCAAAGGGCTTTCAAATACATGATTTCATAGAACTCTTAAAACCACCTTGAGTGTCAGGAATGTGCATTCTCATTTCACCTCTAAGATGAATTTGTACAAGGTTACACAGATTGAAGAGATTTGAATCCAGTTCTCCTAAAACCAGAGTCTGAGTTCTTTCCACGCCTTGCCCCCTCCGCTCCAGCAACCATTTGTGGCTCTGACATGCACTGATCCTCCCAAGCCCTGAAGGATTCCATTTCTACTTCCTGCCTCTACCTCCTTTCTGGAAATGAGCTTTGGAAGTTTGCTGCCCACTGTGTGCCAAGGAACATTTTCCTATTCATCCTGAGCTTGCATCACTCCGGTTCTATGAGGCCCCCTCATCTCCCATTTCAGGATTTGGGGAGCAAACAAATCTTCTGCTTATCTAGGCCTTTCATTATTTGTGGATTTCCATCCTATTTCACCTTCCAGAGGCCTAAACTTTGAAGTTTGCTCTCTCTAGCAGCCCCTTGCTCCCCATTCTGTGAATCATTCTCTGATCCTTCTCTAGGTCCATGACATTCTCCATAAGAGCCAGTGACCAGGCATGCACTCAACTACATGGTTTTATGAAAGGATGGGAGAAAGTTCTATTTTTTGTTTCCACTCGTCTTCATTATAATGGTATTGCTTTTTGGCAATTTCTGGTAAATGCAGAACTTTAGGCTAAGGTCTTCAGGGAACCATCTCTAATGCCTTCCCTATTCCTTTCCTGACTTTGAAAATGAAATGCCTTTCATTTCACCCATATTTTCAGTGATTTTTCACAGGTGATGGGAGCACAAGCCCCTGAAAAAGGTATCAGAATATGGTGGGAGTAATTGGGGTGTTTCTTTATATTTATCAAAAGCGGGCAAGGGATAAAAAAAAGGTTGAGAAACAATGGTCTAGCCAGTGATAAGCAAACTTTAAAATTGAGGAATGAAGGTGGTAGTGTGGGGCGTATATATTATATGTCATTCATGGGTGGTGGGTGAGAGAGGTTGAGAACCACTTGTTTAGGCTACTCATTGCTAAACACATCGCTTTGCACCTATCCCATGAAAACTCAGTCCCTAGATGGCTTGCTCTGCTGACTTACACAGACAGGGAAAGTTCTCTCTTCTCTGTTCCCTTTAGCGTAACTAGGCTCTGGTTAAAGAGTTGGGGGTCAGGGTGGGTGATCACTGTATGGGTCCAAAGGAATTAAGGCCCTTCCCCAACTGCAGATAAAACAAAAGCGACAGTTGGGTGGGCCTGAGACATCCTTCCCCACCAGACTCGGAGGGCCATATAGGCCCCATGTTGACCCCAGAGTCTGCATTCCTTCCTTCTTCCTCTCAGCCACCAGGGTGCTGTTGGGATTGGTGGGGCTGAGAGAGCCAAAAGGGAGACAAAACCACAGAGTTTGCTTTGCTAAAGGGCTGCAGTTTTCTCTTCAGGCCTGGGCTTCTGCCCCTTGCAGGGAAGGAGTCTTTAGCCTGCTGACACCCAGGTAGGAAGCTGGGGCTGTCTGGTCAGCTGTATTGGAATTAGGAGTTGACTCTGAGTTTGTGAGGGAACTGAAGCTGTCAGGGGGGCTTGTGCCGACTCCTCCTCACCCTCCTATTGCCCTTTGTGGTTCATTTTTTCCTTTCCTGGTCTAGCAATCCCACCATTGTCTTTCTCTCCTCAAATTTGGATTCTAGAAGTGCGGGGGGATGATGCTCAGATCTAGTCTGGGTTGGAGAGGGAAGGTCCCCCAGCGCCACTCCACTCCAAGGCCAGGCCTTTGCTCTCACTCCCTGCTCCCTGTCCCCCTCCCCGCCTCCGCAGCCCCTAGGGGCAGAAACTAGTTTGCGAAGTGTGAGCTGGGATTTGAGGCGACCCACCACAGCGAACCCCACTGCACATGCAGCAGCTGAGCAAGGCGCGGCCGGGTAGATGGACATGCCACTCGGCCAGGGACATTCTGTCCGCCCCTGCCGGACACAGTGCCTGCTCCGGAGAGACCCACCTCGCCTCCCCGGACATTCTGTCCGCTCCGAGCCGCGCGCGCGGCGGACATTCCGTCCAATTCCATGTGGCTCCAGGCCGTAGCCCATCCGGGCCGTGACACCCCAAGCCCGACACGCCAGACCCGCCGGCTAGTCGCTCGGGCTGCCCAGCTTCGGCCCTGCCACCCGCACAGCGGCCATCTGACCCAGTCGCAGCCAGGCTCTCACAACACGGCTCCTATCCCGACTGCGAAGTGGCTGGGAAGAGAAGCGTGTGCGACCAGACTCACTCCTGCTCCCAGCCCCTCAAGTCTGATCCCTGGGAGAGGGGCGTCCGGAGCTGTCAGCTGCCCCCACGCTGCGCGGCCGCCTCCAGCTCCCCCCGCTGGCCAGGGCCTCGGCAACCCTGTTTGCTCCCTGACCGCCTGCCCCGCGCCCCCGAATTCCAGGGCTCTTTCTGGTAATGATTTCCCGACTCCCTGCTTCGCGGAGCTCCGGTCCGGGCTTCTTGTCTCCGGCTTCCCTCCGGATCCCGAGTCTCCCTCTTCTCTGTCCCCCGAGTCCTGACGCTGAGTTTCCCTTTTCCTAAGTCCTGGCCCCGAGTCTACAGTACGCCCTCCCAGTCTAGACCCGTTCCCCAGGCACCGTTCCCCAGTTCAGCCACCCAGGTCCTGTTCTAGGGATCCTGAAGTTCGGCCGTGGCCCCTCGGCCTCATGAGCCCCTCTCCCCGCATGGTCAAGCACTCACAGTGAGTCCCGCAGCAGGCAGACTCCCGGCGGCGGCGGCGGCGGCGGCGGCAGTCTGGAGGGCAGGCAGGGGCCAGGGGCCGGGCACCCGGCCGGGGCGGGGGCCACCCCCCTGTGCCCGGACCGCCGCTCGGCTCCGGCGCTCCCCGACTCGCTGAGGGAGAGAGTGAGCCTCGCGGCTGACTGCCACCCCCCGCCGGCTCCCATTCACTTTATGGCAGCCCAGGGCGCCCCCAGCCCGCGGCTGCTAGCCTTGCGCTTCGGGCCCCGCCCCCTTCCAGCTGCGCCTCCCGGGCTCCACCCTTTCCAGCTGTGAATTTTCAGGCCCCGCCTTCGGGGGAGGGATCGGGCCGGCGCACCGCCAAGAAGCCCGCCCCCTGGCCAATCGGAGGCACTCCTCAGCATCTGGGCCACGCCCTTCCCCACGTGGCTGAAACCTCGCTGAGCCAGAACATTTTGGCAGAGCCAAGCGGGCGAGAGTAAAGTGGGGCCGGTGGCCCCGCGGAGTCGGGGCCCGCCGGCGGCGAAGTGGGGCCAGGCCGCTACTCTGAGCAATGTACAGTGGTGCCGGGGAATTGTACAGTGCAGCCGGGGCGCCAGGTGGGAGGGCGCACGGGCCGGGAGAGGCCACCGGGTTTCAGCGCTTGGTTGTCGCTCAAGTTTCGCTGATTTTCTCCACTTGTCGCTGTCTGTCTCCGCGCTTTTGTCTCTGCTCCAGTACTCCCATGTCTTGCCTTTCTTTCCTCTCCTTTCTCCTCCGCTGCTTTGCTCTTGCTGTTTGCCCCTCTCCTCCGTCCTCTGCCCCTTTGAAAGACTAATTTATCTTTCTCTGTGCTATTTTTCTTTACATCTTTCTTTTCTTCCTCTTCTCGGCTATCTCCTGTCCTGTCCCCCCACCTCTCCTCTTCTCCAAGTAAGGTGGCTTCGTTAAGAAAGCAGGGTTTGGAATGAGGCAAACCAAGGTGTCATTCTAACCCTGCCACCACCACCGAGTGTCCTTGGGCAAGTAACTTATCTACTACCCGCCTACTCCCGCCTACCCCTCAGAATTAAAGGAGGCTCTCACTGTAAGTCAGGGCCTGGGTGGTTCACCTGTTAGTCTACACCCTTGGCTTGCCCAGGCTATGTTCTCACAGGCTTGACAGGGCTAGCTTCTCCCAGGGTGATACCAGGTTCATCCTGTGGGCAAGATGTGGCCTTGATGCTTGCTAGATAGGGAGTTGCAAGGGACAGGACTGATGTGCCAAAGAACATGTGGAGTGAGGCTGGGTTGCTTGGGTGCCCCTGAGGGCCCTAGGCCTTATCATACAGTATGATCCTAAAATAAATCTGACCAGTCATGTCTCTGCCTAAAACTCTGCAATAGCTCCTGATTGTTAAGACAAAGGCTAAGCTCCCTAGTTTGGCATACAAGACTTTCAGGACCTGACCCTGCCTCCCCCTCCCACCCCACCCCAGTGCAAAAGGGTGTTTTTATTAAAGCATGGGGACAGGACCCATGGGCAGGAAGAGCTGCCTGGACATGACCTTGTCTAAATCTCCAATCTCCTAGTGGTTTCCTGCACACCTCTGGCCTTTCTTTGGACAGTAACATATTCCCAGCCTTCATCTTGCCAACTCCTACTCATCTTCCTAAGCTCCAATCAGGTCTCATTTTCTCAGAGAAAATGGGTTCCTTAAATACCCAGGGTTAGCTTCATGCTCCCACAACCCTGTTACACACACTCTCTATTACTCCACCCACCATACTGAAGAGATCAGCTTATGTGAAGTCCTCTACGATGGTAAGCCTTAGGAGGTCAAGTACCATGTCTTCCTCATATTTCTATTCCTAGGCATTATGTAGAACTCAATACTGAAATCTAAGAGGGAGATATTCTGCCTGGTAAGATGATGGATATTGTCATCTTTCCCCCCCTCATTTCTTTTTTTTTTTTTTTTAATTTTTTTTTTCAACGTTTATTTATTTTTGGGACAGAGAGAGACAGAGCATGAATGGGGGAGGGGCAGAGAGAGAGGGAGACACAGAATCGGAAACAGGCTCCAGGCTCTGAGCCATCAGCCCAGAGCCTGACGTGGGGCTCGAACTCACGGACCGCGAGATCGTGACCTGGCTGAAGTCAGACGCTTAACCGACTGCGCCACCCAGGCGCCCCCCCCCCCCATTTCTAACACACTCCCATTCATGCATTTAGGTTGATTAATTGTTGGAAGTATATGGGAGCAGAGATGAGGAGAGTAGGGAGTTTTGGTGTACTTAGGATTTTCCAGTTGGCTCTCCAGGACCTCTCAACCTGAGACAGGCCCAGAAGACCGAATCCCAGGTTTCAAATGAAAGTGGAAATGGCTCAGGTACTGTGGAAAGAGGTGATATGGTGGTTCTGTCTTCTTCCTCTAACTCTCTTTGGGTGAAAGAGGCAAGATCCTCAAGTTGGACCCAGAGTTCAGAAGCCTGGTCTGCAGGTGCAGGAAGCTGTTGAGGAGTTCTCAGGTCTGATGTTCAATCTTGTGGTGTCTTCAAATTAGAGGAATCTAGAGCATTCCCACATTCCTGTGGGGTTAGGTATGGAGTTTCTCTGGATTCGGGTCATCCATAAATGGGGAGAAAGTTGGTATCTTTTCCCACTGCCTCGGTAGTCTCTTCAAGTCTGCTGGGACACCTGGGCTCTGTTCCAGCAGACAGTCTGAGAATTACACCATTCAATCAGCAAGGAGAAAACTCATCCCCTTGTCTTCTTCCTACACACTCTCACTTCTAGGTAATTCTAAATATCCCGGCAACCTCTGTCATCTCTTGCAAGGGGAGAGGCAGCTGGAGGTAGAAGAGTGAAGATTGGGGTGGGCATCTAGTCCTTGGGCCTCTTAGCATTTCCAAGGCAAACAGGAAAGGCTTTAGTTTCTTGGCCCCGGGTGATGTTGACTAGCCCTCATGATTAGATTTTTTTCAGGTCGGTAAGTAGTGTCCAGTGCTTAGTATGAAGAGGAGAGTTGGAAGTACAACCCGATAGTCTAAGGCATAAGAAGTAGTGAGAGGCAGTGAAAAGGGAAGCTGGACTGAAGGTGTGGACACCTGGGTTTGTCTCTCTGCTCTGCATTAATTAGGTACGTGAACGTGGGGGCCATCTTTCCACCCTGGGACGCGTTTTACAGAGACCTGAATTAGATATCCAAGATTCCTGCTCCCTCTCATTTTCTCTCTTTCTGAATGATAGGAATGCGGCACAAGATGCAGAAACAGAGTTGCAATGGGACAGACACCCGTATGAGAAACCAAACAGGGCAGGCGGGCGGGAGGGTGGGGAGGTTCCAATGGATTATGGGACTGGTTTTAGGATGGAAAGAACCCAGAGCTGCCTCGAAAGGAAGTGAGTGATCCCTCAAAGGGCAAGATATTGGCCTACATAACTTTTGTTAGGGGGTGGCCGGGGTGGGCAGGGGAGGGAAGTGGAGGGCAGTAAGGTCGCCTGCTCAGACTCTCAAAACGGACCCCGCCCCCTTTCCAGCAAATCGTAACTTTCCTCCCCATAATGCCCAGCAGCCACGGCTAAGCGGCACACTGCAACCAAACCTACCAAGCTCCACCTCTCCACCCGCCCAGCACAATTTTTAATTTTTATTGGCTCTTTTAACTGTCACTCAGAGAGTCCTCGTATCCGTTGGTTGTCCCCTACCTACCCTTTTCTTTCCCTTGTAATCTCGCCTCCTTAGGTAGTACCCGCCTCCCTAAGCTAATTTTCTCTTTCTATTGGGTGGCTGGAATGCCACTTCTCACGATACAATGCTATGATTGGCTGTAAACAGCAGGGCTCGCGCAGTTACCAGGCAGCGGGCTAGACTGAGGCTAGTTACCACGTCAGAGAGCTGACAGGGAAGGTAGCCGGCTCCACCGCCCGTTCCGGCCGACTCTTTCTGGCCGTCTTTGCGCTCCCTGACTTCGGCCTCAACTTCCAGGAAACAGGCTCCTTCCCTTCTCCCATCTGCCACCAGAGCCGGGAGAGCCGCTTAAAGACGCCTTCGGGGCCCGGGCTGGACATGAGCAGCGGCTGCGGGTCCTGGGACTAGGCCCCGCCATTTTGGATCCGCTGACAGGTCAGCGAAGTCTCTTAGAGTTTCAGTGTCGTAAAGGCCGCCTTGACATCGCCACAGGGAATGAGGGGAGGTGGGCCCTTAAATTGGACGAGCCGGGTGGGTTAAGGACGCAGACGCAATAATAAGTCGGGGAGAGATTGTTGTGGGAGGGAACTGGAAGGCATGCAGGGGGCAAAGGTCAGGCCCCCGCGGCTGGAGGGGCGACTTCGGCTCTGACTTCTGATCCCTTTCGGGTGTCCGAATCTTTCTTCTTGTGTTCTCAGGCTTAATCTAGTCTTCAGCTTCCCTCTTCTCGAGCTTTCTGCATCCCAAAGAGCCCAGCCCTCAAAACCTGAAAGCAAACCTAAAGAACATTGTATGTACTTTTTAAGATGGATTTTTAGACCTTAGGTATGAGAGTCTCTGCAGATCCTGTACAGCGTCCACTTCTGTTTGACTGCCTCATTAATACAGCTGACTGCTTTTTAAATCCTGGATGATGAACTAGTGCAACCTAGACTCAGGTAGTGAGAAGAAGTGTGGAAGGATTGAGGTCAGTCTTAGGAGACTGGGACTAAGAGAAGACTGCTCTTCTAGGGCAGCTCAGCTGCCAGTCTGCGTCTATATGTAAACCCTGGACTTACCTTCTGAGCCTGTTCTTCCTTTACATGATTGTTTACAGATATTCTCTTCTGGTGTATGTTTTCAGTTGGCATTTACCCCAGGGTCTTCAATTCATTTGGCCTAAAGAGATGTTCATTCACAAGGAAGCCACTCTATTATGGCATATTTGGCTGAGAACAGAGAAGGATTTGAATATTGGTGGTTTGGTACTGTTGGCCTATTATTTTTAGTGGGTAAAAGAGTCATGAAAGATGTTCAGCTAATTTAAAAGTTCAGCAGAGTGAACGATGGAGCATAACTCCAAGGAGTAGTTTATGGCGCTGTGGTAACTTTCAATAAACTTCTGTATTGTAAAACTGTAAAAGCCCCCAGAGGTAAAGAGTGTCTTCAGAAATGAGGAATAGTGTAAGTAGTGTTTTTTAATGCATAACATAGAAAATTTTATGCCTTTAATTCAGGTACACAAGGCAGTTCTCTGGGCCCTGTGGGGGATACAAATAGAAAGGTCTGTTTTGGGATTGTTCTGTTTAACTTACATACTTCTTAAAAGCAGTAGCATATATGTGCAATGG